TCAAGTACTATTATTTTTATCTAAAGTAGGAAGGGTCATGTGCGTATGCCATGTATTCAGAAAAAAGCCCTTTAAGGATTATCACGAGCAAGCAGTATTCAGCATTGTTTCGAACACTCCCAACGAACTGCCGCCTAAATACTGGTGAAGAAGGATTCGTAAACTATAAACCTATGACTGCACTCCTAAGAGTACTGCATAAGCTGCTGGCCAGCGTGATATCTTATAATTTAATAACTTCAGACGAACTTTGCACATCCAGAACACGTGAGGTTTTGAAGAAAAAGGTCCAGAAATCTTATAGGAGTGGCGTGCACAAAAAGTGCACACTTCGATCAAATCCACCAAGTGATGTTTGAACGAAAAATTCGGTTAATTTGGTGGATACGCAAGGTCATTAATAGTGTGTCACATATATAGCTATTTATAAACAGTACTGAGCGGACATTTCAACTGGGTTACTGAAAACGGCCAGAACACAGTCCAGATTTACCAACAGAGTATCCAGAGAGACCGAGGTATCGACAAGTTATGAATTTATTCCTAAACGGTGAGTAAGAAAGCAATAAGTGGATCACTCTTTACAAGTGAACTTTTCGAATGTTTATGGCACCCAATGTGTAGAGCTGATTACTGGACGCCATCCATGGACCACTTGCATTCATTGGTTCACAAGCGCATTTTAGCGCTTGGTGCAAGAGTTAGTGAATGGCTGTTAAAAACGCGTCAGAGCCTAAATTGGCTACGTCGTGAATAACTGTAAACGTGGGGACGCACTGCACGCGTTGCCATCAACATCTCTAATGGGGTAATTGCAAAAATGTATCATTTTTCAGTTCTATGTGAAACTTAATGCTACACACTGAAAGCAGAAACAGAATAACAATCAAGATTACTCACGATGATTAACGTTGCTTTGGAACAAGCAAAAACTGTATTGACATATTGTTTTATTGTGGTTAAAAAACGTGTGACAAAAATATTCCAACTCCAAGAAATCACTCAGACAAAAATGTCGCATTCGATTTATCAAAGCAAAACGTATCAGAGGAGATGGATGGTACAAAAATTGCTGCCCAGCAGTACCCACAGAACAGCGTCACGTGGCCGAAGTGAAGCTCATCCGATGAAAAAAGTATTAACCGATAGGCAGCTGCAGAGAGGCGGCACAGTAGAAGATGCTTGTGTAAGCGGTGGTCCGGAAAAAGAATCCACCGTTCATTCAGATTCTACCCTCCTTCTCTAAACAAGGAATATGCATTTCTCCTCGAGTTAGCTAGTTTTTCCAGCTCCGTGGAGATTCCGTTCGTTACTCGACCCAACGGCATGGACTGTCAGAAACGGTTTAAAAACAATGCATTGTCAGCCATGCCTTTGGTGATTCACAATACATTAACCTGACCAGTTAACGTATACATAATTTAAAATTTTCTGGAATACAGAGCTCCCCGGGTTTAATCCTGTGGTAGGCTGAAAATTGGTTTTATTTTTCGCTCGCGCACACTTGTCGACACTTGTTTCGTTGGTTTATCACTTCACTGGATTGAGGCGTGTCAATGAGCATTAAGAAACGTTTCTTCATTTTATTTTCTTTCACTTAGCCGAGCCCAGACGGTGACAGATTGTTTCCTACTGAAATATTTTGTTGACAGTTGCCCATCGAATGTTAAACGTGAAATTCAATGTCTCACCCACTTAGCTTGGTGCGGTTCTAGGTGTGCGGATTTAAAGCACAACAAACCAAGCTAATATAACCCCGTTTTCTGCGCCAGGCGCCTCTGCTTATCGGGTGCTATGAATTCTACGTAGCACACGATGCATCCAGACCCCTAACTTCAGGGCAGGCAAAAGCGTGCATGTTCCTTCTTGATCAAATAACTTTATACGAATCTCGTATTTCGCCAGAAACCTTTTGAAGATACAAACCCCAAGAAGACAAATTAACCTGGACTGAAGTTCACAACAAACGCTTCTCTCTGGGGAACAACTGTCCTCAGCTCTCCATACCAGGTCTGTGATTGTCAAAATGGTACTCCAGCTCTTTGATGTTAGGGGAAAAGGTTTCATGGTTTTATTTGTAAACGATAACACGAGAAACTTCGGAGAATTCGCCTACGACTAGTCTTCAAGAAAAATAAAGCCAACGAAATTAACAAAATTACTCCTAATTGCTGTTCCCGTAAAGGCCAGCTATGAATAACTCCACCCAGAATAGTCGAGATGAAATGAACGCAAGCTTTCCTGCTTATCGTCACTGAAAGGGTTTTTCCAAATATTTGGTGACCGTGCTATCGAGGCGCAAAATCAGGGCAAGAAGTAACCAAGTGGTAAGCGTCGAGAAAGCCCATTCTGGATTACGAAACCAATTGTAAGCGCCTGTCGCAACTCGATTTTAGCTGTTGTGTGTCTATCGCGCGCAGCCCATGTGTAAAAAATCGATCGCTCTTATGACAAAAGGGTATCACCAACTACGGAAGCTCACAGTCGAATCCTAAATTAACCGCTATACCGGCCAAAGCTGTCAGGGATGATGAACTGCCGGACCAGTAGAATGGGTTTTGAAAGTATGCTAACCTCCGCTCCTGTGTCGACCAGGAAGTCTCGTGTTGAGTTCTTAACCCAAGTACAGAAAAATGACATTGACGGCTGTCAGCGAAGGGTTACGCGAAAGCACACTGACCACCTAGTTCTCCCACGGAGGGTGACGACTACAGGGTGAAAGGCAACACCAAGTGCCGCCACAGGTGTCAGAGCGTGGCACAGGTCACGCTTAAGGCGTGGTGGTTCTCTATCCAGGTGAGACATGCGAACTATAAACAGGATTACAGGCATTGAAATATAGTTTGATAAACTCATTCCGGATCGCAAACCCCTGTGCTACGAAGTCGGGCCGGAGCCCTGTCAACGTGTCCCCAATTCTTGTCGGTGCTGATAGTAGCGGTACTACTGAGAAATGAGTGTTTCAATATGCCTCACTGCCACAATGATTCAGCTCTATGGATCGGGCCGTGTGTCTGTCTTGGATGACGCTGGAAACGTCTTTCACCGCTTAAGAAATCAAGAATAGTTGAGGGGCTAGCAGGCCTTACTTTGATGCAGACAGACGTTGCATCTACACTGCGCTAACCGTGGTGTCTTACATGTAAAGGACAGCGAGTTAGCAATCACACCAACAGAGCCAGAAGAGTACTTACACTGAATTCACGCTTTCGATTTCTCACTGACGCTGCACAATTTCAGTGCCCATGTTGTCCTAATTTCTGGATGTGAAAACAACACCCAACGCATGCGTACCGTCCGTCCTTAACTCGTTCGTGACTAATCGGCACATGACACCTACTGTTTTAATAGAAACGCTTGCAATTGATTTTGGAAAACACGAGCGCGTTTATATATCCAAGAAAGTATGACACTCTAGCACAAGTAGACGTTCATCATGCGCGCGCAACACCGAAGTCTCCATAGCCCAGGAATACTCTTCAAAGTATTTCTTTCTTCTTTCTTTCACCCTCAAACAAAAATGGCACTGGACGACCTCCAGTCTCACTTGAAAAGCTCCTTTCCGGGAGTTTTGAAGTGTACACTCCAAGTAGATGTCTTTCCAATTGATTTCATCTTGCAAGTAAAAAGCGGCTGTTTCACTCTTTTTGGGAATCATCATCAGTCCAGGAAGATTGGAGTCCAAGACTTTGCGGTTAATATTTGGACAATATGCCGCTCTAACTCTGCGGTTTCGCGAGATCTGTAGTGTTTGTTATACCCATCAAGGATGACAGCTGTACAGTGCTTGTCGGCCGTCCGGTGTTTCTTTTACATTATGAGAACTCCCATTTCAAAAGTTTAAGAACGCGTTATAGATTTCGCATGCCTTGGGATAAAAAACAAACGCCCCGCAAAGGCTGAGTACACACAGATAGGCAAAGTGCCTACGGTGAGGTAACTTACCCCGAAGTCTTGCTCACATTCAAACACAGATGGATTGCAGGTCCATCATTTTAAAACCCAATTCAAACGTCTCAGCTATAGTAAATTATGACGACCAAAACTGCCTTTTTGACTCAAAACAAAAAACTTGTGAAGAAAGTGGTGACTGTAACAGTTCATTCCTCAATCATGTCGAGTGGCTTTCACTAGAACCTACATGGAACACTTGGGCTTCTAGGTAAAAATAAAAGAAAGAATGAGGAATGATAGGATGAAGTTTTTCAAGCGCCGTATAAAAGTAAGATTTGCCAATTGTTGGATTTTAGAAGCGTATTCGACATGGACGACTTCATTCGTGATGCGCTGATCAAGACATTTGAACTCAGCGATGAACAGGGCATTGACACTACTTTACCCCACAGCTCTGCCTACCGCTTATGAAAGACATTACCCGCAGTGATTATTTTTAATAAAATTCAAAGAAGATTCGGCGTCTTAATGATTGGACTGAGTGAATACGATATTTTACCACTTGTGGGGAGTCCGATGACTTGAAGATGAATAAAAGCCCCATTGTAAGAGTTTATTGGCAACTCTACAGAGATCATGGCGAACAGCCTCAGCGGGGGAGATGGCTTCCATTAGGTCCAACTGAGAAGGTTGATTTGGGGACAAATGAACGACATCAAACGGAATCCACACCTTGTATATTACACACAAAAAGCTGCACATGTCGAAGGATTGTTCGAGAATGAGTCCATATACGGAGGATCATTACGTGGATGGAACAGTGACATTCGACAGTTCATGATTCGAGCTTGCTTATGTGATCTATAAAGTGTCCTTAACGTGCGGTAAAGTACGGTATTCGCAATCTGTCAGTCTATGGTATGACCCTAATCACATTCCCTTGTTGGGAACGAGACAGTTGTTCCGATGAAGAACCTCCAACTTGAGTCGCAGGTCAGGGGAGGGCGTGTGCAAGTAATAATAACTAAATAGACTTGTGAGGTCACTTCATACATTCAAACTCAATGGCAATGTCATTCTGAAGATTCGACACCATTTTCAAGTGAGCCCATTTTGTTTATGATTCAATCGAGGAACAACGAAGAGGAGCAGTAGAAAAGTGCATATCATGGAAAAATACATATCTAAAGCACACACAATATGAGAAACAGTGCTAGCCATACCAAGCTGGGATCGAACCAGACACAACACCTGAAGCAGCTGTGTGGTAGGAGTTCACAAGTCATTAGTTGCAGTCGCGACAAAAAACGCGAAGATAATAAGCAAAACAGTGAGGACCGATCGGAAAGTTGTAAAGGTGGACAGTTGAATCAGTGAAGCGATAACTGTACTCCCGGTGCCCCGTATCGGAAATGGAACATCATGAACGTGAAGGTAGTTTTGTAACACAAAGTGAGAAGTATAAGCCACCTAGGAGGGCCAAACGTGAGAAGAATCACAAAAAATGATATGCCAGCCAGATACGCCAACCAGAAATAGTTGGGAGTGGGATAGAATGGGACAGGGTAGCATGCGCATCAAAATAGCGGGGGAGTAGATTAGTATCCATGATGAAAAAGTTACGCCTGTGATTTATTCTGAAGTGCCGTATGGACCTCTTGGACAAGGCGTCGGCGTTTCTCCTCCTCTGAAGCAGGCACTATCGAATGCAGGGAATCCACAATGTTTTTAGTCGTGCCAAAGTAGACTTCATTGAGTGTGGACCGAATAGAATTCTCTGCATCCTGAAAATAGAAGAGATTGGGATGGTCGTTAATGTAAGCCGTTCAAGCCACCTTTTCTCGCGGACGAATCAGACGACCAAACAGACTAGACGGCTGGAAACCCACAAGACTTTATCAATGGACTTAAGCAGCAGTAAGTTTAGTTTTGACAACTGTAATTTGTGATTGGGTCCCGACTGTTCCAAGAAAATCCACCATAAGTTCGGATGCAGCTGTTGAGACCCCTAGAGCAGTCACTGCGAATTATGTTGTCCACTAATTTTGGAACGCCAGTAACTCTGTATTCGCTGTTTTTACCAGTTTTCGATGTGGTCGCTGAAAGATATGGGGTAATAGTGAAGTTGAAAGATCACCTGAAGAGACCGAGGCAACCCGTTCAGCTAGGGGGAAAGTAGTTGACAAAGTGATGAGAATTCGATGCTGTGGTACACGGTCAACTCTCCCCTCTGTGAATGTCTAGCATTTTAGACAACAGATTTGCAAATGGTCAGAGCTCATCCATTCTGTGGATCCAATTGGAACAAGCTATTGTATATACATCATAATTACTGGCCAAGGACACCAAGACATGACGGCGAAAAGGTGAGTATGATAGATTTTACAACAATGTATCACGAAATCTAATCTAACGGCCTTGGAAAAGCTAATTAGAACAACCAGAATGAGATCGAAGGTAATAGGATTGTGCCGAACTGGGTTTGTCACTGTTCCACTCCTTTCGCACGCAGGTACTGTTTGTGCGAAAAATAACGCATACATGCAAACAACCAAGCGTTTGGGTTCTGTTGCCCAAAGAAAGCTGGTTGAACTTGAAGTGGATAGCCTTCAGGAAACTACGGACGCCCGTATGTCCAATGGACAAGTGATATGGACAACTATCTTGGTTTCCACCGTGAAGAATTCTGGCCGAAATTTCCCCCAAGAACTGGTTATAAAATTCAACATGAACACTAAATAGCCCATAAAGAGTGTCTGCTCCCATGGATGGTCTCCACATAGACGATAGCTCTGTCTAAGGTTCACTGAACAGAACGCTGAGCCACACGGAGCTGATCGGACCCAAATGTGAAGACAATAAGTGTATCTAGAATTCCACGGTAGTATAGAGAAGCAAGTAGTCAGAGAAGAAAACAAACGTCGAGGATTCGAGGTTGTCAGTTCACAATAAATACCTGAACGACCAAAGAATCCGGATACTATGATCACAGTTTGCCAGGCAAGAATCAATGCGGCAGTAACAGGTCAGTCCTGAATGGACGAAATGCAACCTATCTGAGTGAGGCTCCAGCTGGACCTGTTAAAAGATAGTGCTGGTACGTTGGTGAGCGATCATTCCGAAAGCACAAAATCACACCAACATGGTGGACAGAGATTCGATCGGACATGTGCGCAAGCACGCACGCAAGTGCAAATGAAAGGTGGAAAACTGGAAGCAGTAGGAAAGCCGAATCACATCGTAGGTAGGTGATACGAGTTGAAACAGGTGTGGACGCAAAAAATGAATGGACAAAATCAATAAAATGACGAAATACGATGAGGGCCATACGGTACAGTTGTTGGTATCTCTTTGATAACTCTCTGGCAATATTATGACTAGTGTGTTCCATCACGAAAATATTCTGCGATATCTCGAATATCGTGCCAACGGAAACATGAGGGACAACCACTGTGCAGCACATACAGTCGAAGGGTAGCATAAACGAGAGATTCATATGAGATACAGTTCAATCTCCCAATAAAACTAAATCACTCAGTAAATGTGTGTGTCGACGATAACAGGGGACTGCGGCGATTTTTACGCAGGTAGGAAAGGGAGTTAGTTACACGTGGTTGTGCGAATCCGTACGGAATCGATCGTAAAGCAGTCCATAAAATGACCCTTAAGGATGGATTCGTCAGCAGAGTAGATAAAGGTAAGAGTGACTTCAGGATTAGACGAGATTATCCGGTGTTTCGGCACGCTCAAAGCATGACGACCTTGTGACACACTTTACACGACATTGTAAAAAGCAGACTTGGATAGTATAAGCGAGGGAACACAGAACCATTGTGTGCAGAAAATATTTAGTAAAATGTTTTTGATAGGGATGATAGTCGTCGTTCAGCTGTAACACCCTTTCGGTGCCTAGCTGCCATGTCACCCAAAGGAAGCACTAGGGTTGGTAAACTGCCAGGTTGCCCGAGCCTAGACAGGGGGAGGTCAAGAGGCAGAGGTCAGGTTCGAACCACGGACGTTCCGGTCAGTAAATTTGCGCTTTATCCATAGAGCCATCTCGCCCCCTGAGTCATCGGCTGTAATGGAACGCTGAGAAAGATTCCATTGTACAACTTGCACTCAGAAGTGAACGGTTACCACATGAGGGAGTATCGATTGGTAATATCTCAGCCTGACGGCTGTGAGGCAAGCCGCCAAGGAACCACTCGGTAGAAAATTAAGATGTCATGAAAATATTCCAGGAAGTGCGAAGATTCTTTAGACCGAACAATTAAAGAACCAGTAAGCAGCATGTGACGTCCAAAAAACACAGAGGGTGGATTGTCTTCCTGAATGTATCGAATATCAATTTCGGCCCAGAGCCCCTAAGTGAAAAGAGCGTACTTTACTGATGAAACAATGTGTAAACGATTTTTAAAACGGAAAGCTACAGTTGAAGGTACCCGCGCGGGGATTCGAACCCATGCCGTCGAGACGAAGGTCTGCGTTGTTAACCACTGGGATACGCGGACTCAGTGGCAAAAACACACCGACGCAGCAAAATGCGTGAGAAATTGGGATATGGAATTAACACTGCTAACCAGAGGCGTCAGAAGCGCACGTAGAACCAGTCCAGCGGAATACGCTATCTGACGGAGAACACGTTTTAAGGCTTTCCTGGTAGAACCTAAGTGCGATTGTGTTGTCGAGTTCCACTTATGGTGTTCAGGTTTTTATTTCCAGTATTCGAAGAATGTCAGAAAAATCGTATGGAATAGAACCTTCCAGGGTTATTCAGGTCAATCACATGACACGTGATAAGCACGTGTTTTAATTGTTTGTAGCACACAAGAATACAACACAATCAACATTTCAGGCACATACAACAAACGCACACAAGTCTTATCGATCGAAACACGCTCTACCGGGGGAGTCAGAAACGTACACTGTGTATGGAGTGAAGACTAAAGAGGACCAGACCGAGAAACAGGACTGAATGAGCGTAGTGACTGAACTATCTTCATAAAGGGAAACAAGAAGGACCAAAAAGCGCCCTTACTATTCAATTTTGTTCGCGACTAGGCCCTTTTATGCTCCAGCTTACGTGGGGGCGTCTGACTATAAGACGGATACACCACAAACAAGTTATGCAACAAAAACCCACTGGAAATCTAAAAGAATGGAAATGTACATACTTATCATGGAAAGGCTTGTCATGGTAAAGCTCAAATGGGTTTAAGTCGCCTCAGTTGTCGTGATCATCATCGACAGCATTACATTGGTGTTCAAAACTGATGCTTCGCTGACATGAAAGCCAGAAATTCAGACGATCTGTCACGTTACAAAGCATTTCGGGACAAACATTACATCAGCCGTATTAGGAGTGTTTCGTATGAATAAATTATCCTCATGAGTATTATGGCTCTTTAGGATGCGGAAGTATGGTTAATGGCAATGTACAGGACGAAAAGAGCTGCTGATATAACACATCCGAGGAAGACGCTTGAAGAAGTATGGAATAAATCTTTCGCGTTGTTTTGTGTACGCTACCACCAGCGACCGGATCATACTTAGGCATCGGCCCATTTGTTTAACTAGAAACCTGGATCGGATCAGTAAGATCATACTGTGCCGGATCGCTTTCAAGATGACTTCAGCGCTTTGGTGCACACACTGGCTACGATGGTTAGGATACGTACTATGAATGTATATGACCTGTGGGAACCTTTCGGACATAAGTTTGATGGAAACACATACAGCAGTGAAACATCAGAACCTCAAAAAGAAACGTGGTATTGCTTTTGATTCCCCCAATAAGGAAGGCATGCGGCACATCAGTGGCTAAAGATCGTGACAGAGTTATCTACCGAAATCAACGTCTTGATGCGTAACCATCCAACAGGAATAAGACCTTCATATCTGAGGACCGACGCCTTTCAAGTAGCAAAGAAATGGCATGAGCTATCACATTCAATAGGTAGGTGTCTACCCACTGATCCCCATCACCGGTGAGTAGAAGTAACCACCACCACTGTGTATCGGTGTACGATTATGTTTGGGGGCTATAGTGACTGGGCTCATAGGAGCTCACAATATGGCTTTGACAGTGTACCAACGTGCAACGAAATAAAGTATGGGCCAATCTGAAGAGTTTTACTCAGAACATTGCTAAATCATCATCAATCACCAACACACCAGTAACGCACACTGGCGCTGGACTGCAGATGTCAGTCGACAAAGTACCCAGAGTACCTGTGAGAGTAGCTTGCTGGGCGATTCGCCTAGGGATCCACGCAGTAAAGATTGGAATAAAAACAGTAGAACCGTAGCAGACAAGTATCGGTGGATGTGACTAATGGTGCGTTCCCCGTCACTTCCTGAGGAGCCTGACTTTGTATACAACTGCTATCCATGAAGGAGTGATAAGCATGAGGAACAACAGTGGAGTCAGGAAGTAAGGAGGAAAGATGGGAGCCAGCAGTCGAATATTTTCTCTTGTCCATCCTGCTGTATGCAGCAAATTAAGCGACCCGGACAGTCTCACCACGCGGTAGTCGATGTGGCATGAGTGGCTCAGCTGTAACGACCTTCCGGTACCTAGCTGCTATGCTACCCGAAGGAAGCACGTGGGCTGGGATACTGCCAGCTTACCCAAGCCTAGACAGGGGAAATCGAGGGGGAAGAGGTCGGGTTCGAACCATGGCAAGAAGGTATTCTTATTTATGCGCTTCATGATGGACTTCATGTGAAGAGCGATATTGCTCCGAAGCCTAGACGGGAGTACGATTAAGGTCCTCAAGCACAAACTTGGGACCGAGCACCTCAATGCTCGGTGTGGGAATACTGGGGTAGTCCACGTTTTAGAAACGGCAACCCTATTGGGAGGGTCAGGATTCTGCCTGCTAGACCTCTGTCCATTCACCGACCAAATAAGATTCCCTGCGGATGTTTTACGGGCAACCTCCAGAACTGCTTAATGGCCTAAGTACGTACGCGAAACCGTCGCACCACATTAAACTCCAATCTCTTCGCATCCTCAAGATGAAATATGCCTTATCTGACTCAGCGTTGCAGTAAAGGACAGTTTCACGGCTATCCCCTCCCTCCAGAATTACACGGGAACACTCTCTATGCTCGGAAGTCACGGCACCACGCAATCATCCCAACAGGAAGCACCATATTGGGAAGGTGCTCTGCCGTTGCCTACATCTGTCGACAGCGTTCAACGGCCGCTGTCCATGGCTGAATTTTTGACTGCATTCATAGTATCATTCCAGAAAACATTGAGCATCAACAATACGGATGAAGGATGGTAAAATCGAGAGATAGGAGGTAACAAACAACAATGCTACATTTATTGAAAATGGTTCGAAAAAATTGAAGCACTTAATACCCTCAATTCATTTTATGGAAACCTTGAGAGGACGCAACCGATGAGATGTTCACATTTTCAACAACAGTGAAAAGCATGTGCAAACATTTAAAAGATGGATGAGTGCCACAGTAGGCAGTTTAACAGACTATTTATAAGAAATGATGGGTTAAGATTCAAGCCAAAAATAGCACCATAGGACACTCCTACTGAAAAACAAGTGGCCGGATTTTCAACTCCAACATTCACACCGTTCTTCCATCAACACTGAGTGGGCAAACCATCCACCACTCGGATCAAAAACACCCACAAATTGGTGTTCATCCAACATACCAGCAAAGTCCGTATAGATATGTACAGCTCTCCGCCTCATAAATTGATGTGATGGCTATCGATTTTTTAAAACCTGCACAGCCAAGGTTAATAATCCATCGTTCAGAGGACACTTTTGCACTTTGTCATACCATTACTAGAGTATTAGTGAGTTCCACCAGGACGTTTTCCGGTGACGTTGAATCATAATTTTATGACCTTTTATGTGATACCATGGTTAGCTGTGACATTGCGTTCAGCTGTAGCACCCTTTCGGTGCCTAACTGCCATGACTTCCGAAGAATGCACGAAGGCTGGGAGGTTGCCCAAGCCTAGACAGAAGAATTCGAGAGGCAGAGGTCGGGTTCGAACCACGGACCTTGCGGTCGGTAAATTCGCACTCTAGCCACTTGGGCCACCTCTTCCCGCCTGTGACGCCTTGCAAAAGGCATCCTACCCGCTCCACTGAAAGATCATATCTCTCTCTCTCTGTACATAGTGTTCACTTTGATTTCGACATTCTTGGCTATGAGAGAAATACAAGCGCCAAACTTTACGAACGTTACATTGATGGTATCCGAAGTTGCACTAATGAGGACCTTTTCAGCCTTTTAGTATTTATACTAATATTCACCAGTTTATCCGTCTCTAATGTGCAACAAGAAAACGATACCTCAGCAATCATAAATATTCTGCTCAAAAGAAAGCCACATGGGATGGCCAGTACACTTGCTTTCCAAGGTTTGCATCAGCGGCCTATTAAAGTGTCCTAATCAAAGCATTATTTCACAGGAAGTCAGACACAAGCAGCAGTCACACCCCTTACGAGGAGCACCCGGTACACAGCTCTTGGAGGTGGTCCTAATGAAGAATGGCTATCCGGAACGGTTTGTCAGAATACGCAGCCTGAAAAAGTTAAAGCCACTGGAGGAAACATAGGTGCTTCCTTATAATTACCGTCTGAGAGGGATTATATGCTTTCGGGCACAAACGGAAACTGAGACGAGGATTCAAGACTCCATCGGCTTTCTCCCACTTCCGGTCGCGCACTCCTGGTGATCCGAAAGCCGCTTCGACTGGCTTTTCTGGGGTTGGCAGTTTCAGGCACTCCAGGCAGAAGGGTTTCCAATGGAATGGCTACCCGTTGATAGTCGCCTCTGTGCGGTTCGTTTGACAACGTCTGCGGTGTGCCCGCCAATCGCTTCTTGTTTATTGTCTGCTTATGCACTGATGATCACAAGGACAGCTTTTAAGACGCTGTGAGTGTTTCTTTATAGTTTGTCAAGAGCTCAACTCATATTACGGCTGCTTTGGATACCAACAGACAAGTGGAGAGACGTGACGCCGCTCAACTGGGCGGTCCTTTCGGACTGGAATCGAGACTCACGAAAAACGACAGCTTCTGCTGAAATCACATGTCCTCCAAAGACTAGTTCCAGGCAGTACAGACTTTCGAAAGAACCGAAACCGTTCTGCCATAAGATAGCCCCCCACACATACGGCAACTTCCAGCACAGATAGATAACATCGCCGTTATCTATAGATGAATAACTGATTGCCGCTAGTTCCGGGACACATGGCGGCTAACCGATGTCGGTCGTGTCCAATTGTCTTCTCATGGTTCTGCTTAAGATTAAAACGTTATTCTATCGAAATTCTCCTTACCGAAGCACTTTTCCTGCGTGCTTCGAGACTAGACTCTTTTTTTTTGCAACCTAGCCAGAATGAGCCGACGAAGCTGAATACCTGATTGGTGTCCTGCTACGAATATGGATCACGACTATTGTCTAGGGCATTTCATCATTCTCCGACAATTTACTGAACAATCTCAAGCTAGCTTTTGTGAGCTAGGTACAGAAGTCCTTCTAGCGAGAAAAAACTCCATCGAAGATGCGTCTTGACATCTTCAGAAGTGTTTCTTCTGGAGGTGGAGATTCGGGTGTTTTAGAGACAAAAACACTAGCACAAGACGCATTCATGACTGGACTTATATTCCGAAATAGGAAGCCTAACATGAGACAAACCTATGCACTGAACGATTTTAATCGATTTTATCGTCAGCGCAAATGTCCATGTGGTGACTTGAAGCTAACTCCCAAGGTCACGTCTGATCGAATTTCGCCTAGGCTAGCAAGCGCAATGATATGCTTTATAAAAAAATCTGATACCGGAAAGAAGTTGTATTGTGCAGAGACACCATTCCTCGAAACATCTGGATAGCACTACTCTCTCATTTGAAGTTAAAAAGTATACATAAGCGAAGGAGATCAAACGGCTGGCCACCTACAAAATGGTTCAGTGCCATTGACAAGAACAGGTTAGCCCAACAATAGCTGTTTCTAAATCTTGGTCAAAACGAACCGCAAATATCCGTGGATCAGTGGTAATACCACACCTAATCAGTCAGTTCGAAAACGCAAAACACGCCACAAGTGCGACAAAACTGTTTAACTTAGATTGACGGATACTGCACAAATAGTAAGACTGGACTGGATACATAAAATATAGCGGACATTAATTGTCTGAAAATGAACTAAACTGAGCCTGAGAAAACTGACTAAATATCATTGCTTTTCGTACGGTGAAGTTTTGCTAACTACAGATTTGCACCAGAGTAGTGCTCCGGCACAACAGACTAGAATGTGCCACAGTCCGGTTGGCTGTGACATAGCCACGGAGCGGAAGGCTTTCAGTTTCGGCTGTACTCCATGTTGATCGACCACCTTCATGACTAGAGCTGACTTGGACAATAAACTTCGGTTTGGTAGCACTGGGACACCAGGACCGACGACGTTAACAGTTAATATAAGGGATATCTATTGAGCCTAACCGTTAGGAGTGGGAAGAAACCAAGGAATTTCACTTATGAAATATCATTTCCTGTATTATATGCGAACTGGCCTGCTGAAAACAACGTAAACCGATAACGTCGTGGACGTTCACCATGAAACTTGTGGGAGACTGCAGAGAACCTGGGAGAGGAATTTAAGGACAGCACCCAGGAGTCTTATTCACTTACCTCGACCATGCGGCCAATGTTCACAATATGAGATGTTGTGATCGATTGCCCAGCGTCTCCAAGTGGTCCATCGCGTTCCATGAACCGTGTGAGGCTACCACCCAGATTAAAGTAGCCCGCAGACTCACGCTGAGTCTGTAGCCATAGCATGACTGTGCTGGTCAGTTTGTACTGAGCTACTTTGGCTGACGAGCGTTCCTAAAACAACCAAATATAAGTTGACATTGTCAATGATTCCGAGAAGAAACAAGAACCAATGGTTAAGAGAAAGGAGAGTCAATAAAAAGCTCCATATATAAACTCTGTCGATGCTCACAAGTAACCGAATGAAACAAGCATGTGGGTCCACACATAGTTGCTATTTTGCGAAAAGTGCGGATGTCTTGCTACGGCGATTTCAAGAAAGATTCGTGCTTCCAATATTTTGTTGGCTACTAAAAAGAGGAGAATGTGATGACGGTATTACCGGTTCAGGCTACAGGGTGTTCTGGATGACACCCGGGAAGACAAACGCATTCTGCAGGGCAGCAGAAGACCATTCAGAGGTTACGACTCAAAGATTCGGTGAGTTTGTTTTAGTTGGTCTGTGCATTCGTGGTGTTGAAGAAATCTGTCATGATGCGCTTTCGTCTAAAATATCGTTTTGTTCCATTGCTTCAAACATCTGCTGATGACAGGTACAACTTTTAAACCATATTATTTTGTCCTTTATCGATCCAGAACCTCGTCTTGTCTGCGAGGTATGAGCAGTATCTGCCAAAGTATCTCATCTTTGGCGCCAGTAGCGAAAATCAGTAGGGTTAAAAGACTCTACAAAATGACCGTAAGAGCAAATTTAATTTATGGCTAGCCGACCCGGTCTCTCTGATTTGAAGATCTTCAATTGCTTCCAGCCTTTAATTACCGATGTCTCCACGACAAAGTAGGTGTTAACCGGATGCAGGATGCACGAGTACTAAGCCACTAGTTAGAGCTGTCTGTCAAGTTAAATGGTTGGGAGTGAGTCCCACGCATGCTGGACTACCGTCCGTAAAGGAAAGCCATATCTTCCAACCCAAATTGAAGTGTTATACACAGGCACTGTAATGTGTGGTTTAGTACAGTCACTTCAGATTCTTTGTCACATTGTTGCAGACCGACTATCGTAGTTTCTGGAATTCGTGGATAAGTTACTAATATGCTACTAAACAGACTTCATTTATAGCGGTGACCTCGGTTGGTCAATCTGGATTTGAACCAACCTCCTGTGTCGTCAAATGTAGGTTCGGGCATTTGAGATAGACTTTCAAACATCGTGCGATCATTTATTGAAAAACTTCTTATGGACGTAGAATTTTAGATACCTTTGCTACTTTACACCTCAGAAAAATAAAATCAATGTAACCAAGATAAAAATCACACCATTTAGCTAAGCTGTTACTTCCGACGAATACGGATGGTTAGATGTACATCCACCCAGTGTGAGGAACAATACGATTACGCGATATTAGTACTAGTCCACTTATTTAGTTCATTCTATGGTATCAATCGCAACTGTGCTACTCGTAGCGTGCTAGGTAACACTGCGGTACCTCACGTTGGATTCCACTTAGTGGGCCGACTGAACAGACCGTCAATTACGGTTACGTGGAATCAAAAGTATATAGTGCTGGAAAAAAACTGCATACGTAAGCACATCTCGTCCCATCACACGACCATACAGCAAAATACTCCAGAATTAACAAAACGTAGCACTGTGCTAAATATCTCAAAATTTGACCATAATCGAATTGGTAAGCGGCAGGCGATCAGGTGTGCGATACCCCGCGTGACTGAATCAGTTAAACTAGTTGCAAACGAAACGCGTTTATTCTCCTCTCCCTTTCACCCCTGACACAATCTTATGGCCAATAACAAATGCTAGCACACTGACACCTCTAATGGTGGACTGAACAGGAAAGTTAACTGTTCCAAGAGATTGATAACTACTTACAATGACATCGATCACATGTATCGAATCCCAACAACCGCTGGCCAGTTTGGCATCACCCGCCTTCTTAATCAGGATTACACCAGCAAAGCCTTGTTCCATGTCCCACAAGTAGACAGAGGAAATGCCACCTTCGTAATACCTATAAATCGGAAAATTTTGGGGAAAAATGTATAAGCAAAGCACTACAAATAGAACATGGGTACAGACATGTGAACTGAGTCGTGCATTTCCTCTTCTGAGAGCCTACTATGCCTTTTTCACATCACATATGTGCCTCATCTTGATTGAATGAAGCGATACAGTTAACATAAAACGAACTATCAGTCGAGGCACGCACAAGGAGGTGTAGGTCTAAAGTCAGACAGTGGGCTTCTATTAAACATGAAACGTCTCTTGTCTAAAGCTTTATCTTGTCCTGTGATACATTGATATTGTAGCACTTAACGCATACGCGATCACCACTTTATCGCGATCGATCAAGTAAATTATCAAGCATGGTTTTATAAAAAGGCAGCATTCTGAGTGAAAGACGATCATAAAACAATTGAACGATATTATCGCTCGGCAACCTGTTGGGGATATCAATATCCCCCACAAAAACTCTGTATTTTTATGTGCTAGCGAACTTCCGGCATCTTCAAGGTCAAACTATGAATATATATATATATATATATATATATATATATGCATTATCATTTCTCCCATGATCGCCTGTTGGTCGCGTGTCGTTGTATCATTGAATGTTGTTGGATCATTAAAGTTTGTGTCCGAGGTTTTTTCGTCTTCTTACTATCCGACGTGCTAGGAGTCTGGATCAAGCAACATAGCTGGAGATAGAGTATTGCCACAATCCGCATATCATATTGTTTGCTCGCTGCGTGACCGAACCGTAACACAACCCAAACACCACACAGTTAAAATCCAACTTCAACTTATAGGCCGCAAGGATTACTGATTTGGCTACATCCCGTTTGTGATTGGCAGTTATTCTTCACTCTGTTTATTCCTTTGAAAGTGCATTCACTAGTACCGTTCCGTTCCGTTCATGTTAGTGAAAGAGGTTTGCAGATACCCCGGAAAACAGCTAGAGTTGTCAGAGTAGTATCAGTGTACCAGTTGTCGGAAGGTAGATTTTTGGAGATATGCAATACTCCTAGAACCCAAGCATGCCACATTCTGGACCCAGGGCGCCTAAAATTCTTGGACGGAATCTTCAAGACAGGTATACTGCGCAGTTTCGTACGAGAACCTGAAGACACAGTGAGCCCATCTCTACAGTGGTTGCATTTCGTTAGTCACAAATCCTAATTGTAAGTATCATATACAGAATGCTCGCTTTTAGGATTACAAGGGCGAGAGATGGTCTGTTCCCATGTCAATTCCACAAAGAACAGATCTACTATTGATTGGTCTCATGTTTTTACAAGACATCTATTGCGGAGGACTGTTTTCGGTGAAGCTTCAACCGACAGTTGTAAACGGAATATCCGCTTAAACTGTTTGCAGTAGGAGTAGGCAGTATAGGGTACCGTAAAAAAAAGCGGTGGTGAAGTTGTTGAAATGGGATTGATCAAGAACAGTGATTAGCCGGCTAAGGCCGGTTTAACGGAAAGGTGTGCGGTGTCCCAATGGTCTGGTCTATCAAACCGCCTGTGTCGTAATGAGACGACCGGTCACCAATGGGAGACTGTTTGAGGACCTCGTTATTTACTCAATCTTAGTTTTCCAAATCTTGTTGTTTAGAAAGAAAAAAGAAAGAAAGCTTTCAGCTGTAGCACCCTTCCGGTGCCTAGCTGCCATGCCACCCGAAGGAAGCACGAGGGCTGGGATACTGCCAGGTTGCCCAAGCCTAGTTGTTTAACGTGCAATGATATCCCGATCCTCTAAGTTAGACAGAATGGTGGCAAGTTGCTCCCTGAAAGCTAATGAGATGAAACAATAATAGCTGTCTATTTGTAAGACAATGCGGAGCACAGATGACGCACAGTGTGGATGAGATACTATCGGGGGTCGAAACTTAGAAACGAGTAATTCGAATACCGACAATAATAGCTGTCTATTTGTAAGACAATGGGGAGCACAGATGACGCACAGTGTGGAGGATGCATAACGGATGAGATACTATCGGAGGTCGAAACTTAGGAACGAGTAATTCGAATACCGGGGTTGGCTACGAACGACGGAACTTCCGGTCATTAGGTTTGCACCTTAACCAGTGGGTTATCCTGACCACGAAATTGGATTACTGTGATGGTCTTACACCCACTAATGAGGCCCTGCGGTCGGCCAAGACTAAAAGTCTTCCATGTTCTGCTAGTCCCGCTGACAGAGGGGAATGTGTACAACACAGCCGGAGCAACACTTAACACTAGCATCATGAGTCACACTACTTCGCTATTCAGACTTCAGCCCTTGCCGTACGCGCGCCGATTTTATCATTCCCGGGTGACCTAGTGATCAAACTATTTAAAACGACCCAGAAATTCAAAATCTATTTGTCGAATTCGTGCAAGAGAATAGGAAAACACACAACAGTACCTTATAAGAAAAGCGGGACACCCCGTTTACAGTTAGCTGAGTGTACTATCGACCAACGAAATAAGGAAATATCATCTGCAAAGAATGTTCATACCATCTTAATCCACGCGTTAAGAGTTCTTTGAAATGGGTTCTGGATAATGATGTAAGCGACGCAAAGAGGACGAAGGCAGTCTCGGCAAATCCGCTGGCCACCGAAAAGCTACAAACCGGAGGTATTTGAAAACAGAGCGCATCAACTGAAAGCAGGTAGTAACGTAGTCTGCCGCAAAGACCGTTTTGGGTGCTCAGATGAACACTATCCTCTATGTAGTCCCGACGGATTCTGTGAGATTGTCAATATTTTTAAATCACCGGAAACATAAAAACTCTCCCGTCGTGACAGACGACGATGATGGGGTTTATGCATGTACTGCATTGCTTAAGTTCTCTGTTTCCTAGAATAAAGTGTACAGTATTTGATTCACGGATAATGCATTCGAACTTAAGGCACAGTCAACCAGGGTGAAAATGTATAGAGTGATATTAAATTGTTGGAAGAACACATTGCTCATAAGGTTGCTGATGACACTTCGACAATCTACTACAGGTTTTTCGCTTCTTGAGAAGCCTTCACGTAAGCGTTTCCGATTTTTCATTTAAAGTATATATTCTAGTTGAACACCAAATTGTATGCAATCGACAAAAAATGCCCATATGAAGAGCATATTGGTGATAACGGGTTACTCAACTGAATCAAATGTTCATGATATTCTTCAACTGGATTTGCTGCAGAGTGTCCGCCTCATGCTATAGCTAGCAAAATATCCGATATTGTAATATCTTCTCGGGGGATCATACTATTTTAAGTAGAAAATGCTGCTGATGGAAACTCGGGATCACGCGTACCTGATGAGTCCCAGAGGGTTGAAACCTGCAGTGGGCTATCGAAGTGTTCCCGTAACCTTATAAGTAGTTGTGAAGCAACTATGCTCCAATATTTCGGATATCGTGCCAACCGAAAAACAGAACAGGACATCTGGCTAAAAATACCACAGACGAAGTTGAATTATCCTTACTGAGTATGAGAATACTCTGTGTTGATGGAAATCAGAAGGTCTGTTCGCCGTAGGAAGCAAATTTCGATAAAAAGGATTACTAGGTCGCTGTGTGTTCAAACTGCTCCTGCCCAATACATGACTGGCAAGGAGCTGTGCATCAGGAGAGTTGCCAAATCAAAGGAGACGAACTTATCAACCGTTAGCTGACTGATCCTCCCCAACATTGTCCCTGGTACCACAGCATTACTGGTCAAAAATCCTTCCACATATACCATCAATATTCCAGAGAAACCGAGGTTCACAGACCAAAGGCCTCAGTTTCCCTTACGTTCCAAATGGCCACGTTCCGGTCCCATACAGCACAATCGGGAGCGGTGCGGCCTCTAGTGTTCTAACTTTCACAGACACCAATGGTGTCGGTGATGAGAATTGGAAACAACCGCCCTGAAATGACCAATTCAACAAGTAATTTCGTACAACACACTGTATCTATGTAATCACTAAAGTAGTCAAATTTTCGAATAATCCAAGTGTATGCCTTGATAACATGAAGTTTGAGTTGGACCCCACGTAATCTTGTAGGAACACTTAATGCCTCGCAGGTGTGAGGCGCATACCGATTCATCTGACTGGTTATATGAATCATCCGAAATAGCTTCTGCAGGACATGATCTTGGAACAGGCATGTCGATCTCCACAAGCAAAATCCTAGAGAGCACTGACGACAACATTCAGCCGAGATGACTATTGCACGAATTTGGCTGTTACTCTATCAGGTCCCAAGGCGGCATACCTTGTATAATTCTGGCTTGAAATATTACAACTTGTCATGAATATTCTTTGTGCTCACATCGTTTTGTATTAACCATGCTTTCGCCTTCAATTTCAGCTTATGTACGTCTATTCTTAGACGAGTAAAGCGCTATTCATTCTTGTTCCCGCGCTCAATCAGAATCGATATTCTATTTGTAGCAATTTACTCGTCTAAGAATACAGTGGAACCGTTGCTGCGACCCAACTGTTTCGACTCAGATCCTAATTCTCCAGACGCAACAACGCGTTGGAATCATTGGTTCCGAACCTTCCAAACGTTTCTGGGCACTGTCGAATCGCCCAATCTAAATAAACTCGAAACTCTGGTCCATTTTATGAATGCACTTGTACACGTTTATATCGCTGACCGTCCAGATTACGAATCAGCTATCAGTGCACTTGAAAAGTTGTACGTTCGTCCAAAGAATATAATTTATGCTCGCCATCTTCTACAAACTTGCAAACAAGACACCAGTCAAGATGTTGATCAGTTTGTTCAGAGGCTTAAATCCTTGGCCAAAAATTGTGATTTCAAGGCGGTGTCCGCCATTGACCATCAAAACGAAAGTGTACGCGATGCTCTAATCAACGGACTTCAGTCTACTACCATCAGAGAACGACTTCTAGCTCAAAACGAACTCACTCTCGATGAAGCTCATGAATTGGCCAGGTCATTAGAATTGGCCCACAAACAAGCTCAGTCATACTCACATAACCAGGCGATATCATTTTCTGCGGCTGCAGCACCTTTACAGACATCTACAGTTATCCCTTCACACTCAAACTCCCCTGATTCTACACCCTATCTCTCGTCAATCAGTTCTCAGATATGTTACTTTTGTGGTCGTTCCAGACATCCACGGTCAAAGTGCCCCGCAAGAGAAGCAGTTTGTAAATCATGTGGCAAAACAGGCCATTTTCAGCGTGTTTGTCGATCCAAATCTGTAAAGTGTCACTCAAATTGCACAACGGATTCGGCCTTATCTTCCCTGTTGACTGCTGCGGCCCCGAACTGCTTGTCTCGCACGGTGACCAGCATAAAGGTGAACGGGATATCGCTTCAGGCCCTCATAGACACAGGAAGTTCGAGCAGTTACATATCTCCTTTGGTGGTTGGTAAACATGGCTGGAAGGTATATGCTAACAATTCTGTGATTACCATGGCATCTACCTCTCTGACGTGTTCAACTAGAGGCTACTGCTACGCATCCATCGATTACAGGGGCACCGTTTACAAAAAGATCAAACTATTGGTATTACCCAATCTATGTGCTGACCTGCTGCTAGGCCATGACTTCCTTGGTCTACATAACAAAGTTGAAATCACATTCGGTGGGGACCGAGGTCCATTCACCCTCTGCGGTCTACCTGCTGCTACGGTCGAGTCACCTCCTCTTTTTGCTAACCTCTCACCCGACTGCAAGCCTATCGCTACAAAATCGCGGCGTTATCATCCTGACGATGAACAATTTATCCGCTCTGAAGCTAACCGACTATTGGATGAAGGTATAATCGAACCTTCGAATTCTCCCTGGAGGGCTCAAGTACTGGTCACGAAAAATTCAAACCAAAAAAGACGCATGGTAGTGGCCTACAGTCAAACCATTAGTCAGTTCACATACCTAGACGCGTATCCGTTACCGCGACTGGATAAAATGATCGAAGAAATTTCCCTTCATGTTGTCTTTAGCACCTTAGACCTATTGAGTGCTTACCATCAAGTTTCAATCAGTGAGCAAGACAAACCGTATACGGCTTTTGAAGCATGCGGACAGCTGTTTCAGTTCCCTCGTATTCCTTTCGATGTAACGAACGGAATAGCATGCTTTCAACGTACTATTGACCATGTAATCAAGTCCGAGAACCTAAGTGGCACCTACGCTTACATCGACAACGTCACTATTTGTGGGACTACCCAAAGTGAGCATGACCAGAACCTCAAATCTTTCTTTGAAGTAATAAGAAAATATGGAATTACCCTTAA